CTAAATCGTTATAGATCTTAATTTTTTACTTATGTCGTTTGACCATTTTTTTCAAGCTGAAATTCGATTTCCAAATTTTATTTTTCGAATTTTCACAATCTTAGAAACATTAAAATTATTTTGGGGGTGTTCAAACGTCAAAATACAATTCTAAATCGTTATAGATCTTAATTTTAAATTTATGTCGTTTGACCATTTTTTCCAGGCCGAAATTCGATTTCCAAATTTTATTTTTCGATTTTTTAAATAATTTAGAAACATTAAAATTAATATAGAGGGTGATCAAATGTCAAAACACAATTTAAAATCGTCAGAGATCCTAATTTTTAACTTATGTCGTTTGACCATTTTTTCCAAGCCGAAATTCGATTTCCAAATTTTATTTTAGGAATTTTCAAAATACTTAAAAAAATTAAAATTATTATAGGGGGTGGTCAAACGTCAAAACACAATTCTAAATCGTTATGGATCTTAATTTTAAACTTATGTCGTTTAACTATTTTTTCCAAGCCGAAATTCGATTTCCAAATTTTATTTTTCGAATTTTAAAAATACCTATAAACATTAAAATTATTATAGAGGGTGGTCAAACGTCAAAACACATTTCTAAATCGTTATTGATCTTAATTTTAAACCTATGTCGTTTGACCATTTTTTCCAAGACGAAATTCGATTTCCAAATTTTATTTTTTGAATTTTCACAATACTTAGAATCATTAAAATTAGTTTAAGGGTTGGACAAACGTCAAAACACAATTCTAAATCGTAAGAGATCTTAATTTTAAACTAATGTCGTTTGACCATTTTTTCCAAGCCGAAATTCGATTTCTAAATTTTATTTTTCGAATTTTCAAAATACTTAGGAACATTAAAATTTTTATTGGTGGTGGTCAAACGTCAAAACACAATTCTAAATCGTGATAGATCTAAATTTTAAACTTATGTCGTTTGACCATTTTTTCCAAGCCGAAATTCGATTTCCAAATTTTATTTTTCGTATTTTCAAAATACTTAGAAACATTAAAATTATTATAGGTGGTGGTCAAACGTCAAAACACAGTTCTAAATCGTGGTATATCCTAATTTTAAACTTATGTCGTTTGACCATTTTTCCAAGCCGAAATTCGAATTCCAAATTTTATTTTTCGAATTTTCAAAATACTTAGAAACATTAAAATTATTATAGGGGGTGGTCAAACGTCAAAACAAAATTCTAAATCGTTATAGATCTTAATTTTATACTTATGTCGTTTGACCACTTTTTCCAAGCCGAAATTCAAATTCCAAAGTTAATTTTTAGAATTTTCACATTACTTAGAAACATTATAATTATTTTAGGGGATGGTCAAACCTCAAAACACAATTCTAAATCGTAATTGATTTTAATTTTAAACTTATGCCATTTTACCATTTTTCCAAGCCAAAATTCGATTTCCAAATTTTATTTTTAGAATTTTCACAATACTTAGAAACATTAAAATTATTTTAGGTGGTGGTCAAACGTCAAAACACATTTCTAAATTGTTATGGATCCTTATTTTAAACTTATGTTTTATTTTTCAAATTTTTACAATACTTAAGAACATTAAAATTATTTTAGGGGATGGTCAAAATTCAAAACCCAATTCTAAATTGTTTTCCGTCTTAATTTTAAACTTATGTCCTTTGACCATTTTTTGCAAGCAGAAATTTGATTTCCAAATTTTATTTTTCGAATTTTTTTCCTACTTGGAAACATTAAAATTATTTTAGGGGGTGGTCAAACGGCGAAACCTAATTTTAAACCTTTATGGATATTTATTATGTCTTTATGTCGTTTGACTATTTTTTGAACTAGAAATTGGATTGGGAAATATTCTCTTTGAATTTTTAACCCCTTTGGGGTCTTTTAAGATATTTTGGGGAGTGATCAAAAAGCGTTACATCATTTTAAACGTTTTTGGATCATATTATCTTTCTGACCATTGATCTATCGTTTAAAGTTGAAATGCATCCCAGAACTCCTATTTTTCTATAATTTAACCCCTTTAAATTATTTTAGGGGTTGTTAAAAAAAATCTAAAGGGTGGTCAAACATGGTCAAAAGTTGGTTAACCCTATGGTGCAGTCAGTTTTAAAAAATAATAATTTCGGGGGGCCAGCGGGCACTCGGTCATTAATATTTTTTAAATATTTTGGTTTGTGAGGGTGGTCAAAAAAAGTTAGTGGGTGGTCAAACATGGTCAATAGATGGTCAAACGTATGCAGCTTTTAAAACTAAAATTTTCAAATTTCGGGGGGCCAGCTTCACAGAGCTATGGAAACTGGAGTGAATTCTAGGGAATTTTAAAAAGATTTAAAATTATTTTTTTTTCTATTCTAAATAATTGTTGAAACAATTTTTTTTAAAAACTAATTTCAAATCAAAAAAATATTTATTTTGAGACAGTTTCTACCTATTTAAAATAATTGTATTCTATCGCCATCTGTACCCAATAAACTTAATTATAAAAAAAATATGTCTTGATTCAAACTTTGCTTTTATTTGTGTGATTATAATGTTTTTTTTTTAATTTAGTTTAGCTACTAATTTAAAAATCTCCCCGAATTTAAATCTAGGGAAATTTTAAAGAGCTCGCAGGGAATTTCTCTTCAAACTTGTTCGTCAACGCTAGGAACAACAGAGTCCTTCTGTCCTCAAGATATTCACTGCAACATAGAGTAATTCATACTGTGCTGACCTAGCCAGCAGTACAAAGCTATCACTACTATTGCTGCGATTGAAAAGAACCTCGTTTTGCTCTGTTTGCTCAATGGTTATGCTTTGCTCTTAATGTCACGTGACCAAAAAATCTACTCGCTCTGCTCTACGAGGTACATTTCAAACGTAGCATATAATTAGCATGCAGTAAGAGGTTTTCATTTCCATGTATTGGAAATTTTTAAGGTAGTCCTGCTGTATCGGCGTTAGCCTATGAATTTACAGGGAGCAAAACTCCCAACGTTGACAGTGACCTCGTGTGCATTTCAAAGTGGCGTCAAAGTAGTTTATGATATCCGAATATATTTTAGCTTCTGGAGTTTTTTTGTAGTTAATCCATTCCTGCTTGTTCATTTTCTATTGGTAAAAAAGGGAAAACCATTCAATTTTTATGCAGAAACTACTTAAAATGTCTTCTTCCGTAGTGGTCTTTTGCAGATTAAATTCTTCTAATTTCTTTGTTTTTTTTCACCCTTTCAGGCATCCATCTGCTCCCCCACGAGGGATTTCGGCAGACTACCCAAATCCAGGCTTGGGTCCAGCTACTGGCTTACCTCAAACATGCTTTCTTTCCTTAAACATGCTTGGCGTCCAGTCTGCTTTCCCTCCTCTTAGAGTTCCCATAGCGGCACTGAAGTCCAGATGGCCTATTATAACAACCAACTAGCCCAAAGACTATTTGTAACTACTGATAGGTCTTTAGCTACTGTTGTTAATATACTATTAAAGGATTAAGGTGGCACTGTGACCAGCCAAAGGGTCCTGGAGTCCAGAAGGAACATCAATTCCCCAGTGGCAAATAAAAATAATACAAAGATTAAATTAAAAAAAAATTAAAAATTATGCCTTAATAGCATAGTCGAGCAGTTCTTGCCAAGTAGTTTAAGACTCTTTTAGTCCTAAGGGAATAGAAATGCCGAGGTTTCTCAAATGCTCGGAATATTTGTCTGGGAAGGAGAGATTAATAATAAGTATTAAAAAGTAACAAATGTATATTTTAAAATAAGTACAAAAGTGACTAGTATTCTAAAGAATAAATTACTCAAATTATAATTAGGGAATAAAGCACTATTTGATAATATATCCAAACTTTAAATAAATATTTATGACACTAGATGAACACTTAATTGAACTATACAGTTTGGACTTATTAACAATTATAAATAGCACTGGAAAACTTTAACTATATAATAATATAAAAATATGTATAAGATAAATATGATAATCGGGACGAAAATGGCATTTATATGTAAATCAATTAATTATTATCAAACAAAACACTTTAAAAATAAGTTAAAGATATTTACCCATAATTCACAAATCGCTGCACAAAAACTTTACTCTACACATTACTTTGTTTCGGGACATAGCCCGAAACAAGAGTTTGGACCGCAGTCCTTACTCGAGAGAGTCCTTACTGGAGAGTCAGTTCTTTCCTTCTGGCTCGTCTCTCTATATAAACCCAAAGTTTACGTGATAAATTTATTTTTAAAATTGTCACGCTCTACCTTGAATTCTCTAGTTCACTGTAAATCATTAGCTAGAGTAATAACATGATCATTTGTTTTATTTCCATACGTGTGTTTTCTTTTGAATTTTTAATTTAAAACATTATAAATACTTTTTTTAGAATTTCTAGTAAATTCTTTATATTTTCCAATAATAATGCCAATTATTACACTATTGTGTCACCATTTGGATACTCTACTCCTTCCCATTTATCATAAGTTTATTTATCATCATCATCATCATTCATTCCATGTTAACCTTTAGTCGGTTTACGATCACCCATCCAAGACGTGACCGGATGCTTAACTGCTGCGAAAACGAGAATGCACAATAGTCTCGCGGTTAGCCTCTCCGGCTTATGATATTCGAATATGTTTTAGCCTCTGGATTTTCTTTTAGTTAGTTCATTTCTGTCCGTACATTTTCTATTGGTAAAAAGACCAAACCATTCAATTTTCCGCAAAAACTACTTAAAATGTCTTCTAATGTAGTGGTCTTTTGTAGATTCAATTCTTCTAATTTTCTGGTTATTTTTTTCTTACATTTATTTTGATAAAGGTTTTTTCTGGTAGTTTATTTTACAAATGTATTTTTTATAGGTTTGTTTATCGTTTACCGTTTACTTCACAAAACTAATCATGATATTAAAGATATGCAGAAACTACTTCATTTATAAAATACCCAATATGATAAGAGAGGTAGGAAGAAATATACCAAATCATAATGCTTAATTATTTTTTTTATTTTTTAGGTATTTACTCTCAAATAGTGCCAGATGAGATTGACTATAAGAATTTTCCTCTTCCTTTTACCATGAATAAAATGGGCGCTTCGCAAATTCGTCAAGCTTTTAACTTTGGAAGTTGCAGAATAGTCTATAATCCGTAGGTATAATAAAATCAGTACCCATATAGTCTTTTTCTCAAGAAAAGTTACTATTTTGTTGATATATAGCCTTCGATAATGAGAAGGAAAGGAAAATGTATTGTGAAGCACAGTATTTTTTGTAGGAACCATAGTTTTGTTTTAAAATTTTATTTTGAATTTACTAAGCGTTCTTTTGATTCTAATCGCAATCTTTGTTACAAAGGGCATATCAAAAAGTTTTCCATTTATTTTATAAACTGAAAAAATATTTACTTATTAAAAATTGGATAAGTACAAATCATCTTTCAGACAACAAATTGTAATGGTTTTATCCCTTGACAGTTAAATTATTCCATACTAAAGCTTTTAGCTTTTTGACTCCTCTGGTTCCATATACATTTCAAAAAATTAAATATTTGGTATCAAACAAAATTGTATCTTCTGCCAGTACTTTTTCTCTTTCACCACCTCTCCAAAAATCTGCTCCAATTCTTCCTTTGTCTTTTTCTGCTACCTCGTGCTCTATCTCTTGATTTCTGCCTCCTGCTTTGCTTCCTGAGTTCCGTCCTGCTTCTTTTACTGATCTGTCTTCTTTCACTGTTCTCCTATGCCTTCCCCTGTGACTTCTCTTTCTGCTTTTTGCTATCCGATTTACCCTCAGTTTCAATTTATATAAAACTTTATTTACCTTACATATTGATATTTGTAAATAGATATTTTTTTGATACTAGAATATTTTTTTAGAGTTTGTCCAGATCCAGACGTGACATTTTTCCTCTTCACCAAACATAAGCCAGAGCATCCAGTTGAAATAAGAGTTGGACCAAATCATATGGAATCGAATTTCAAAGAAACACGTTTTGATCCAAGGAAACCTACAAAAATTATCATTCACGGATACAATTCGAATATGAATATAAGCGCTTTAGTAGAAATAAGAAAAGGTAATAAATGGAATAAGTATCAAATAAGTCACTTTAAAACAAAACGTTTCGCCCTTGTAGACAAAGTCGCTGGTCAAAAAAATCCAACCTCATATACAACAAAATGTTTTAGTTCGTTACATACAGTGATGAGCAATTATATGGAACCAAGTAAATATTTCTAAGGGTAAATAAAATTTCGGATATCAATTTGGAATATACAGGGTATTCCAAAAATGTGTGGTACATTAAAGTTTAATTTTTTAAATGACATTTCATAATATATTTCTTCAATTTTTGATTATACTTAAAGAGCCGATTTCAAAAACTATCTATAAAGTATTCAGTTGAGTTACAAACAAAAACGAAATATTTATTATAAAAAAAAATATTTTTGTTTTTTAATTGTTTAAAAAGTGTGATCGTAAATTCGTTTAATTTGTGACACTCAACTATCGGCTCGTGTTGCAAAACTCTGCGCTTGTTATACAAATAAGTATCAGCATTCGCACTTATTGCCTAAACTAATAATAATCCTATACATCAACTGAATTATTTAATTTTTTACATGAATTATGACAATAATCTTATAGCCTAATTTACAAAGCATCTTCATTTTACCCACATGTAAATCATTATAGACAGAAACGTCATTATAATGGTTATTGAAATTGATATGATGGATAAACTTCTACGTAGTTACTGATGACCGCCATGTTGTGAACAATCAATAGTGACCGCTGTAGCGGTTAAGTGTAAAGAAATTATTAAGTTATTTTAATTATGCTGTTAATAATCAAAATGTACCTTTATAAATAATGTTTATACTATAATTTATTACAATATTATTATTTATATTTAAAATTTAACGCCATGCCATATAGAACTAGATAATGAATTATATCACACTATTAACTAATTGGGCCAACCTAGCCATAATGATGATTATTTACATTTTTATCAATATCACGATAAATAAGGAAACTTGTAAAATTTTCCAACCTCAATCTAAAAAATTTCCAATCTTAATTTTCGTTTTGTTTACTACGCCTGAACCAATTTTTAAAAGCAAGGCGTAAATTTTAAGATGTAAAAGTTATATACGAGGATAGATGAAAAATATCTAAGATGGCACTTAAGTAGTATGATATCAGTTAGATACCCTTCTTTAGTTATATAATTTATTCCTACAGCCGGTTGCAGGAACGATCATTAAAATTTATGAGCTTAATCTATTATTACAGAGCTTGAGAATGTGATTGACATGAACTTCACATTATTCAGTTTAAATATCTGTTTAAAGTTTATCAGGGTAATAAATTTTAATTGACTACTGGAGCTGGTTTAAAATCTACAATATCAATTGAAAATTTACAAAACAAAATTAATTTGAAGAGTGAAAAAAAAAATGAAGCGACAAAAAGAAATGATAGCCTCTTTTGTGATGATGCTTCAACTGATCTGCTTCTCTCCCTGCTGTGCTTTCTCACTCTCACTCTCCAATAACTTTTTTAGCTCTAACTTCTATTTTTATTTCTACTTCTGCATTGACCTCTTTAACTTTTATATTAATTTCAACCTCTTTTACTGCTATCCTTATTTCTTGTTTATTTATATTTAAACCTTCTTCTTTATATTGTAGTTATATGTGTTGTTCTTTATTTGTCTCTATTTATTCTTCTAACATTTTACCTTTATTTTTCATATATTCTCCTAATTTATTTATTTCTTTAATCATTTTATTTTGTTCCTATAATTTCTTCTATTTTCTTAACTATTTCTGCTTTCTCTTGTTTCTTATTTTACTCAATCTTTCTATGGCTCTCTTAAATATGATTTCCAATTACAACAATAATTTATTTTATCCTCCATCCTGTTTTCTTTTAATTTGTCCATTTATTATCTATTTTTCCATTGTTTTCATCCAAATTATCCATTTTCGTCATCAATTCCTCGTTATCATGCTGTACCTCTTTCCTCATTTCTTCCTCATCTTGTTGTCTCTTTTTCGTTATTTCTAGCAGCATTCTCACTATGGAATCATCTCTTTCTTTCTCTCATATGCAGTTCTATCTTTTTTTACCATTATTGTTTCCTTCTCCTGTTGTTTTTCTTTAGTAATTAAATTTTTACTCTCAGCCTGAGGCTGGTTTAGGAAACGTACGAATAAAAAAGAAGTGCAACGTCACAAGTACAAGTAAAAGAAGAAGAGAATAGTCTAGAAATGTCATTCCCTATCAAGAAAAATCTGGACGGTTCTAGAAGGTTCAAACAAGCTATATAAGTCGATGATTCTAACGTCAGAGTTTTAGTTTTATGATAGACTTTATACGTTCATGTTATATAGTTGAGTTGAAATAAAATGAGTTACCAAAAACCAGCGTAACAATATCTTCTAAATCTTGCTATTCCATATATCCTTGTCTTACTTGTTTTACGCTCTCCTCATTAGTTCCATCCTGTTCTTCCATCAAACATCTTTTTTTTCTTCTCGCAGGTCCATCTAATCTATCACTTTTAATCTTTCACACCTTCATATTTAACACTTTTTATTATATTCCAACTAGATAAATATTTACTTCAAATTACTCTATAATAATCTTTTTCATTTAATCTTCTGTTTACCCTAATTTCAATTTCCCAGATTTTCTTACACTTTCTGTACCACTCACCCTGCACACTTACACACTGTTCTTACACAGTTTTCTCCAAATACATTATTAATTTAAATATGGTTAAAATTTCTTAGCAAACTAAATTTGTTCAAACTTCCCCCTTTATTTTATATCGCTAAAATTTGTCTGCCCTCTTTTTCGTTGTCAGTCCCATGTCAGGCACTACTTGATATAGAAACATCCAGTAGATGATATTCCAAAAACAGAATATTGCAACAGAAAGAAATTATGGCTTTTTCTTTGATGGTGCTTCAGCTGCTCTGCTCTTCTCCCTGGTTGTGCTTTTTTACTACTGGTCGGTTTATTCGCTACAGATTTAACGTTTTGATTCTCAACATCTTCTCGATGCTATTTAATGGCTAATGTCACATTTTGTATTAATCAAAATCATCAGTTCAATATATCTACCATTGTGCTGCAATATTTTTTTAATGTTTTTAGAGTATTTGAGAACAAAAGACTACAACATATTCGCCGTGGATTGGAGTCCCTTAAATCAGTCGCCATGTTATTTGGGAGCCATGTTTAACATGCCACATGTTGGAAGGTGTTGTGCACAGTTGATACAACGTCTACTTGATTTAAAAAATACAGACATTCACGTGATAGGATTTAGTTTAGGTAATTCTTTCAGTATATCACTTCATTTTCAAAAACCACAAAACTGAGAAAAATCTAAAACAATATAATCCATAACTTGTGTGTTTTTAATTATAAATATATAATTTTAGTGAACCAATTTTGTAAATACTTTAGTGACTGATTTATATTGAAATTGAATATATGTAAAACAGCGATAAAGGCCCTAAAGACCGATGTCCTCCAATTTTTCTCCTATCCACTGCCGTTTCTTTCCAATTGGAGATTTTTGCCTTCCTTATGTTCTTTTTTTTGCGGGTCCGGCTTCTTTGTCTATTTGTTCCTTTCCCCTTGTCGACGATTTGACATTCTCTCTAGATGTACTAAACAACGTAACCTTTGACTGATCTCTGCTTGCCCATATAGCTCTGAGTTTCGCATTTGTCCTTCTGATCCATTCGTTCCCTTCTACTCTCACTCGTCCCAAGAGTTTTCTTAGGACCCGTCGTTACGAGATGTTCAGTTTGTTTTCCATGGTCTTATTCATAATCTGACATTCACTTCCGTACAAAATTCTGATTTGTATTTACTGTTCGATATAATCTTAGTTTTGATGTTCTCAAGATCTTTTTTGACTTCAGTATCTTTTGAAGGGCTTCGACTGTTCTACATCCTCTCGCAATTCATGTTTCAATTTTTTCTTTTTCTGCTCCCTAATATTCAAAACTTTTTACTTTTTCCTGCGTCGTTTTAATTTTAAACTCTTCTAAATTCCCTTCTTGAATCTTCTATACATTTTACATCGTTTATATATTTTGAATAAAATAATACCAACACCTTAATTTTTTAATTTTCTTCTGTATCGAAAAAATAAATATGAAAAAATTGTTTTGTTTTTTAGGTGCCCATATTACTAATCACATCTCCACAGCTCTTCGCCCGTATAGATTGCCAAGAATCACAGGTCTCGATCCAGCGCTCCCAGGATTTATCACGCCTCATTTGGACAGTAAACTGGATAAAACTGATGCTGATTTTGTTGACGTATATCACACAAATGCATTTATACAAGGGAAAGTAGAAGAAAGTGGTCATGTCGATTTTTACATTAATGGAGGAGCTATACAGCCAGGGTGTTGGGCAGAGACCAGTAAGTTCTTCATTTAGTGAGTTTTAAGTATGGAACGCCTCAATTATCTCGAAAATGGCTTTCACAATTTTTATATACTTTGGTATGTAAAAATTGTGCAATACGGCCGATATTATGGTGTATTATGGAGAGTGGCTATGTGTAATATAAAACCTTTTGAAAAACTTTGCTGTGATTATTAAAGCTATTTTTAATTTAGTACTGATGAGTTTATTATTAGTTTTATTTGGCATTTTACAATATTTTTTTGTGGTAACAATTCGCCTTATGAACACCTCCCCCTTACGGTCAGTAGTGTGAGGCTTACTGCTCGCGTTATTCATAGCGCATACCCACTAAAAATACCACTTGGGCCATTATTCCACCTTCCTCCTATTTGCTGGTAGTTGCGTTCTTCTTCTCTTCTTCTTCTTTTCTTCTTCTTCTCTTCTTCTTCTTCTTCTTCTTCTTCTTCTTCTTCTTCTTCTTCTTCTTCTTCTTCTTCTTCTTCTTCTTCTTCTTCTTCTTCTTCTTCTTCTTCTTCTTCTTCTTCTTCTTCTTCTTTTTCTTCTGTTTCTTCTTTTTCTTCTTTTTCTTCTTCTTCTTTCCTATGCATGATCTTGGTAATAAATTTGGCGATATTATTCCACGTCTCTTGGTTTTCCGTCATTTTTTCCACGATTTTTTATGGGGTTAGGAAGCCCGTTATCTGCCTTATCTCCGTCCTCTCCATGTCCCAGCGGATGCACGCAAAAACGGTGTATTCCGGCGTGTCTTCCTCCCAGCAGTGCATGCATTCAGCGTCTGTTCCTTTACCGATTCTTTCGGTATACGTGCGGAATGACCCGTGTCCGCAAAGGAATTGGTTAAGAAAATAATTTAGTTTTCGATGTTCGTATTTCAATCAGTTATCTAGGTTGGGAATTAGGGTTTTTGTCCATTTATTTTGCCACATTCTTCTCTTACGGTCTGATTCTTCCATCCTGATTGTAAAGTTGATTTCAGTGCCGTTTTTTTGCGGTGTAGTCTTTCACGCTCTTTTACAATAAACTGAATAGGTGTTATCCCGGAAATAACATTTGCTGCGTTTGCATATATTGTGCGAAAAGCGCTGATCACTTTTATCAGCATCTTCCTCTGGGTGCCTAGCATGTCATCATAAATTTTTGATTTCGATGTTATGTGCTATATCGGAGCGTCATAAAGGAGTATTGAGTGGACGACAAGACTGAGAACAACCCTTTTCTCGTTACTTGGGCCTCCTATGTTTGGCATCAGTTTTACCAGTGCTGCGTGAGATTTTTCGGCTTTTTCGACTGTTTTTTTTTGTATGTTCATTGAAGATTAATTTATCGTCTCTGTAGACTGCCAGGAATCTAGCGCTCTTTGTGGGATGTGTTTCCTCTTATGGAGAAGTTTATATCCTCTCTTTTTCTCGCGCGCCCTTAAAAATTACAGCTTCTGTCTTATGGTAAGCAAAGGTAAGGTTGTTGGCTTCCAGCCATTCGCTTATTAGGTAAAGGGAAGCATTAGCTTTCCCCAATAGGCTCCCTTTTGAGGCAGCACGGACTATCAATGTTAGGTCATCTGCATAGGCCACTGTTTATCAGTATACGGGGGACTTTTAAGTTCAGAACTTCGTTGTATAACACATTCTGCAGCATTGGACCCAGACAGATCCTTGGGGGACCCATTGTGTCATTCTTTTCTCGTAGCCTCTAACATATATTTCGTTATATTCAAGGTAGCTTCTTATCAGGTTCAACAACCACGTTATTACGTTTTGTTCTTGTAACCTTCTCAGTATAATGGTCCATTTCGCCGTGTTGAATGCGTTTTTCACGTCTATGCATATCATGACTGACCAGTTGTGGCCAGTGTTCCTGATAATAGCTTCACCTGCTTCTGTCGTGGATTTCCCCTTCCGGAATCCGTATTGTGTATCAGACAATGTTACATATGCCTCAATCTTATTTTTTATCAAATGTTCTAGTAGTTTTCCTAGCTCGTCGAGAATGCATATTGGCCTGTACTTTTTCTCATCGATGTTTCCTTTAGGGATTAGTGCCACACTTTCCCTTTTCTAGGGCCTTGTGAAAATCTGGGTTTTTGCTATTTCATTGAAGACGCCATTTGGTAATATTTGTATGGCAATCTTGTAGTTTCATCTTGTAGTTTATCGGCCGCTCTGTGAGCTCATTATTTATGAATGAGTCATATTCTGCCACTCTACTTTAGTGTTCTGGCTCTTCATCCCAGTTAGGGAAGAGTTTATCGATGACTTCGCTTATTTGTGTAGTGGATTGGTCCCTTGAGGTGTTTAGTAGCAATTTTGTAACCTTGACCCCAAATCACACTTTCCAATTACTTGCGGAAATCTTTCCATCTTTCCCTTTTTGACATATATCAATTGCTTTTTTGTATTCATTTCTAGCTGTTCTGTAGTTTTTCTGAAGTTCCAAAAGTTCTTGGGAAGTTAGTCTTCTCCTTCTGTCTCTAGTAATTTGTCTTCTGAAGAGGTTGCATACTGCTCTTCTATCTTTCACAGACTCGTTTCAATAGTACGGGGTGTTCCTAGGATGTTGTGGGCGGCTATTTTCTCTAGCCTGTTGTTGTGCTGATTTTAGTATTTTGACTAGATTTTTGGATGTATGGCGGATGTTATGTTTAACAAGCTCCAATGTGTTCACTATTGTTTCTTGGTCAATGGTTCCACTAGTTAAATGCATTCCTTGCCTCCTTTATCTGTTTCCCATTTGACAGTACCCAAAGTAGCTGATACAATATCTGATACAGTAACTGATACAATCATTCTTATAATTACCTAATTTTTTTAACGTCAGAACGAATATCATTTTGCTTTTCTTTCTGTAAAGTAGAGTCACGTAGAGTTTCAACGCCCCCTAGGGTGCTAGGGTGCTTTAAAGTAAATGATAGGCTGTAAATTTACATTTAAAATCGATAATTTTTTTTGGAACACGCGTATAATAAACTTTTTTCCCTATTTATTAGATTAAATACCTATATGAATAATAATATGTTAATCTTAATATCCCTGTATTGACTGCCAGAAAAAATTCCGCTAAATCTCAACTGACTAATACAATTCGATATTTTTGTAGTAATAACAACGTTAATTTATTTGTTTTTAGGGTTCTTCGCATGCAACCACCATCGGGCTCCTCTTTACTACGCAGAATCCATCAACACAGACAAACATTTTTACGCCTGGCCCTGCACATCGTACTTCGACTATCTTTTGGGGCGTTGCCCTCCTGTAGATCCACAAATTGTAATGGGAGAATACGTTAAGAGATCCGCGCAGGGCGTATACCTAGTGATAACAGAATCGGTTTCGCCCTATGCGATCGGGAAGTACGATGGGCCTAGTGTCGAAATCTTTAAAATATTCGAAAAATACAGAACCGATGTATTGAATAGGTATAGGAAGTATGTTGTTGGGTACGTGGATGAATATGAATTATTTGAGCAGCTAAATGATGGGGATAATAAGAAATTTAATTTATATAATCAGTTATTTGAGGTAGAACTTACAAATGAAAATTCGGATCTAGTAAGCGCTTTATAATTTATGAAAATAATTTAAAAATTATACTACAAAGGTTTCATAAGAACCCTCTAATAAAAAAGTATTGCAATTTCTCTTTAATATTGCAAGCTTCACTTCAGTACTTGTTCCAATTCGAACAATCTTCGATACAATCTTTTCCAACTCATTTTTAGTTCATGTCCATGCCAAGATTTTCTGAATTTTGAGAATAATCTATAGTTGTGGTTGGCCAAATATCGGTTTAAACTACGTATGTCTGAAATATATTGTGCAATCCTGTATACAATCTAAAATTTCCCCCGCTGTTGTGGAAGCTCGTTTTGAGCTTCTTAAGACTGGAGACGTTACAGTTAACTGGTTCCTACATCGAAGGTGAGGTGAGGCAAAGGGTCCCTTCAATTGCTCTGGTTGAAAATTTTCCTGTTAAATTGAGACATTATATTGAGATAATTTAGTAATATATGCTAATCATTGTTTTCTTCATGACCTATCAAATCAAAACCTCACGCCACCACTTTTCTATAACTTTGGATGCAGACTGTCCTATTTTGCACACTATGCTCTCATACCTACGGTTCGCATAATGACAACCTCATTGGTATGTACCTAATAATAATATAAAAAATAATTCTACCCCTATGATAGTAAATCATAGAAAGCTGTGTGAAAGAACAGGACGCAAGTTATGATTTGCTCTTGAGTTTAGTGGAAAGATACAGATAATTAAATTGATGGTGCTATTTGACATAGAGATGGGGAAAACCCTGTAAACTACATCAATCATCGTCGACAATTTTTAACCGACTTCAAAAAACGGAGGAGGTTCTCAATACGTTGGAATATTTATATTTTATGTATGTTCAGCGATAATTCTTTACCACGTTTTTCGATTTTTATGATCCTTTTTTTGTTAGAAAGGAAGTACCTAGGGAGTGTTTCATTATACATTTGGTCAAGATCTAATGTTGGGAACCACAAAAAAACAGCAAACGCTTAACTTAACTTAACTAAATGGGATAAAGATGCTCAGAGTTTAGATGAATAATGTCAAATCATGTAAATACCAAAAAAGTTATTCCCATTCTGTCACCAAGCGAATAGGTTTTATCGAAGATTTTTATTATTCCGTATCCAGAGAAGGACATTATTCTAATTGTGAAAGATGCGCTCACGTTTTAAACTGTTACTGTGTAACAAAAACTAAAAAAACAGTAAGATTAGCGATTGTACAAGATGGCGCAAAATCAAGTACTCTATAGAATGTTGTCATGGTTTCATTTGTAGTTGACATCTGTTCGAGTTTTTCTGTCAGTTGCAAAGTATATACTTGGGAAATTCATTATGAATCGATATACGCCTCGAGAACGTGCTGAAGTCGTAAAATTTTTTCATCAAAATAATACGTCGATTATCCTAGCTCAACGAGAATACCGTAGAAAATATGGAAAACTGCAAAGACATTTTGGCGATTAGCGACAAATTTTCAACAAACTGGGTCTACATCTTATAAACCGCATATTGGCAGACCTCGTTCAGCTCGTTCAAGGGATAATATAGACCGCCTACGTAGAGATGTGATGGAAAGGCCTAGCACATGAACAAGAAAACGATTTTCACAATTAAACATTACCCGACGTTCATTGCAACGAATTTTGGTGAAACATTTGCACTTGTTCCCCTATACAAAATACCGGTAACCCATAAAATTCTGCCTTTAGACTTTGAAAAATGACGTCAATATTGTAATGCTATCGTAAACCTTGAAAACGAAATTAAGGCTTTTTGGAACAAAATCATAATAAGCGACGAAGCTCATTTTTGTTTGAATCGAGCTGTGAATAAGCAGAACCATCGCTTCTGGGGTAGTGAGAATCCACAAATTATTCACCAGCAACCGTGCCAAAAGTGACCGTGTGGTGTGGTGTTAGTGGTAGAAACATTTTGGTGCCTTATTTTTTTGAGGACGATCGGGGAAGAACCACTAGAGTAAATGGAGATCGCTACAGAAGCATGCTGGAAGATATTTGGTATCAACAAAATGGTGCCACAACACACACGGCCCGTCAGACAATAGCCATTTTGAACAGAATTTTTACTGGACGCCGTATCTCGAAAAACGCCGATATTGCATATCCGCCAAGGTGTCCCGATTTAACTGTTCCAGACTTTTGATTATGGGGTTATCTCAAAGATAGGGTATTTGTAAATAATCCTCGAATACCAGAAGCATTAAAAGACAACATACGGAAAAAATTGATAGAATACCACCTGAAATGTTGGAGAAAGTTATGAAAAATGCTTTAAAAAAGCTCATTATTGCATTAATGCTGGGGGTGGCTATTTGGTCGATATTGTTTTTAGTGTGTAACAAAACAAATTTTTAGAGTTTAAATAAATATTTTTCATTTATAATATGACTGTTTTTTAATTAATCTTACTTTTATATAAAAAATAAATAGAGGTCTTTATTTTGAGCCACCTTGTAGATCTGATAAAATGAGGCTTTCAGTGGTTCTATGTAATACAACAATCTTCCAATCTGACGTTCTACTTATATCTCTGTTATAATTTCACTCAGTCCAAACAAGTCAGTGGCAGTGTATAAAACCTTGCTATTTCATTTGTAAAAATTTTTATATTTTTCCTTTTAGGCGGATTTTATACTAAGTACTTACCTTTTTTTTATATCAAATATATTATGTTTTCTCTTTCGTAATAAATTTTATAAAATATTGTTTTATTTTTTCTATTACACATAACCTCATAAATTTAACACAATATCAGGGCTGGTATATGTTACGGATGGGGGGTGGGGGGGTAATTGAGGCTAGGGGGAAATAGTAGCACTTTTCTGATGTTCCTTTGGCGAAATCCACGGTTATCGTTTATCCTGCAGTATTATAAAAACAGAGACAGATCTACTTTTAACGTGCACAATGTCAATATGGTACAAGTGGAATGAACCAATGTTTTTCTCGTAATGGAATAAAAACTAAAAACATTTTGTGCTTTTTTATAGACCAAATTATGCAATTTATTTCTACTTTATTTTTATGTTACATGAATAGGTACATGCGTTTGTGCTGGGGTAAATAAGTGTTCATGTAAAAATTATCTCTGAAACTACATTGTGACTGCACTCCTCTCCTCAATCTCAAAACTGGATGCTGTAAATCCAGGATTTAAATCTTTCATAGTGTTGCTTTGGATAAATTGTGAAAAAAGTGTTTGACAAAACGTTTAGAACCTAAAATTGCATTGACAACACCATAGAAGAAGGAATTTTACCTTTATGAAATTCTCTTTCAACATTTTTAAGTAATTAAGTAGGTACCAATCAGAATATTAAGAATACATAAGTGGAATATGAAAATGTAATTACTTGATTAAAATGTAAATATGTGTGATTTAATTAAAAGAGTCAGGTAGAGGTCTGATATAAACAAAGTGCTGTAAAATGTTGATAAATGCAAACCCATTATTAAAGAGAAATTAGTGATCGCCAATAAGATATTTTGTAGTAGTGTAGTAGCTGGTCTCGTTAAATAGTAAACTTGCAAATCTGTGAATAATTAGTAGTCAGTTTTAAATATAGATTTCGCCACTAGAAATAAAAACAATAAAATGTGTGTGGTTGAGAATAATTTATATATTTAATAAGAACATATAGGTCTTTAAAATGTTTTAATTTAATAAAAAACAGGTGTTATTTGAAATTGATTTATTTTAGTTTAATAATGTTTATAAATTGTGGCTAAATTTGATCTGAATCTTACTTAATATTACAAAATGCATATTTTATGTATTTATATATGGTTAATTTTCACTAGACATGCTAATTTGGGTAATTTACTAGTCGAAGTCATACATGTTTCCTATTATAGTTTTTATAAGTTTATAATTCTGGAGATACTGAAATATTTTTCTTGATAACTAAACTTTGGTTGTTCTTGTTGTGGTCTGCTGTTAACACTATTACCCTGAAATATTAAGAAAGCTAGACAAAGGTTTTTCCATTTTTTTTTAAGAGCTTTGTTAACGTATTGTACTGTTATTCTGCATGCAAACAAATACTTCTTTTTTTACTGGAGATTTTCTGTAGAAACTGCAATCGGAATTAAATTTCGGCCAGTTTTAGGAAAGTACCTCTGTTGTAAAGGTATTTCAAAGCCATCCATTGTAAGATGTATCGAACAAATACATGCTAAAATGTATAAAAAACAAATCACAAGATATTACACATAATTATTATTTAAATTAAATAAAAATATACAAATGAAGTGAATAATACCTACCAACAATTTAAAAAGACTACTAATTCGGAAATAGTGGCGTCCTAGATGGATGATATATCGCGGCCCCCTTAGATATACCAGTCATGCACAATATGTTTTTAAAAGACTGAAATTATCAATAAATTCTTCTTAAAATCGATTAGGCCGATCCCATAAACTAGCCCCCTAAAAAAACTCAATTATTATAAATTATTAGCATTTTTATTTTACTTTGGTACGCTCTAAACTATATACGAATCAATATTTCCAAGAAAATAACATCTATCCAAAATAAAGTGTAAAATAGAAATCTTTAAGTTTCACGGTTAATTATTAGAAAACATTTTTCTTATTCAGTCGACAGGATGATACACATAAAGAGGGTTTAGATTTAAAAGATGATTAAAACAAATTTTAAGTGTATCTGACCTATAATAAGGCGATGTTGAATAATTCTCAGGGGTTGGGTACTCAAGCCGGGAAAGTCTGATTATCTTCTTTTTATTTTATTTCTGGTCTTGCCATGTGGAAAATAGTGAGGTTATGTTACAAGATTTCGAATGTCACCAATATTTTACAAATTATTGTTTAAAAAGCTAAATAATCTCAATATGGAATATTGAAACATGAGGTATTTATAGATTATTATTACCCCTATATGTTATAATATTAGATTCACTAATTTTAGAAGGATCTTAAATATGCATATTTTCGGCGTACAACGTGATTCGTAATAAAATATTTTATAATGCATTCAATGCTTGAAATAATCGGACAAGTTCAATATATTGCTAAGATATGGTAAGTTTATGCTATGAACTAATTAACTTGATAAAAATTTACAACTTATGTGTACAAAATTGATTAGCCTAATATGTGTTGTTTTTATAGGGTTTATACTAAGTCCCACTTCACGGCACCATCTTTTGATATGTTCTAGTCCTCATTGGACTATATATTTCTAAACTTGCCTCTAGCAAATATAACTATGTCGTCGGCATAACCTTGACAGGGTATATGTCGACGTCAGTCAATCTGCATAGAAGTTCGTCTACGATTAGGCTCTACATTAGAGGTGATAGAACTCCTCCTTGTCGACATCATCTGGTTGTGCAGATGGAGATGGTGTCCTGCCCTATCTGTGTCTCTGCAGTTCTCGTAGATAGCAGCTGAGCCATCCATCTGAATGTAGTGCTATCTACTTCTCTGTATGCAAGTGCTCTTTTGACAGATTTGTGTTGTCAAATGCTCCTATGTCTAGAAAGGCAGACCGTTTCTTTATTTGTCAGTGAATCCTGGATTACGCCAATCAGCTGTACTAGGGTAGTTTTTGTAGATCTTCTGCTTGGTACGCGTGCTGGCTGTAGCACCCTCTCCAAGACTTCCGTTTTGATATAATTATCAACAGCCTTCTCCATTGTTTTTAATACAAAGAATGTGAGGCTGATTGGTCGGAAGGATTTAGGATGTGTGGTACCCTTTTTCCCTACTTTTGGAATAAAGGTGACTCTGGTCCTTCTCCATTCTTCTGGTATATATCCCAGTTCCAGACTGCCTTAGGATAGCTGGGTTATATCTGGTAATAATTCTTCCTGAGCCCGCTGAAGCAAGGCAGGAAATAATCTATCCATATCTGGAGACTTAAACGGTTCAAAAGTGTTTACGGCCCACTTTAACCGATTTCTGCTGCATATGTGTTTGGCCACTACCGCGGCCTCTCTTGGGGGTCTGCTTACCTTAGTTGTGTCCCTTATTAGAAAAGATGTGCTTCCAGGAAAGTGAGTTTCGGGTAAGAGGCGAGCTCTTTCCTCCGCACTCTCCGTGAATCTTCCATTTGGTTTCTTTAATGCCATAACTGTATCGCCCTTTGCAGTCTCGCTGCCGCAGGTGTAGAGTTAATATCCTTGCAGAATTTTCTGAAGCTGTTACGTTTAGCTTTCCTGATTTCTTTGATGTAGGTAATAAGTGCCTTGGTGTAGCTCTGCCAATCTCCGCTGTGTTTGGTCCTATAGGGGAGCTTCCGAACTTCGGATCGTAAGTTTGACAGATGATGGTTTCATCAAGAAGCATCTCTACTAGTTATATTTCTTTAAATAGGGCAGCTTGATTCATATGCCTCAAGAATTGCCCCATTTAGATCTTCGAGATCGCTTTTCAGAGCAAGTGGGTGCCTGGGCCCCTTTTTTGTCTGGATATGTATAAAATTGGTTTTAGAATATTTTGTCAATAATACAACCAGAAAAAGTCCTAAAATAACATTATCTCATCGCAAAAAATCACTAAACATTATCCAAGAGCCGTTGAGGAAATAAAAGAGACCAATAGGTATGATAGTTCTGATTCAATAAAACAGGCAATGCTACACTTATTAGACGTGACTGTGGAGACTGTAAAAGGAGAAGTTGTTTCTGTAAACCTTGCAAAAACGAACCTAAATTTAAATTTAGAAAAATTACAACGAATTTCAAACAAAATTTAAAAATTTGAGTTGAATTATTAATGCATTCTTTTCATTATCAACACATAAAAATAGTCGTTAGTTTCACGTGACTGTAAATTATTGTTTTTACGCTAGAGATCCCTATTTGTAAAAAAATATATGTGATTTTGAAGTAGGCATATACATTTCCCAATTTTGTCTAGATGAATAATTTCAGTTACAGAAATTTGAGTTTCCGTTAATATTCGATTGCAATTTCCAGTAATTTTTAAAAACTAATTTATCGGAAAGTTTGTATAAATTTTTTCATTTTTTTGTTAGACAATATTCGGAAAACTCCAGAATATATTGCTACCGCGTTTTCAATTTTTTTTTTATGTTTATAGGTACTTTATACTTAAAATCGAGTGGGATGATCTTATCGCCTTCCACTTCGATCCAGATGGATCTATTGTGGCTAAACTTTATACTTCTATAAGTCCTTCAATTGCTATCCTAATGTACCATGTTAGACTAATGTATGTATGCGCCCTCGTATAATTTTCAAACTATAGTGAATTTTGATAGGGCTTGACACGAAAAGATTAAATAAAAATTGGAATACGGTTGAAATTTGCATAGTACTTGCATTAGTAAATAGTCACACTTTGAATTTTTTTTATTTTTTGTGGGTACATTATATTATTTAGATTATCGTTAGGAATATATAAAGACGTTTTCGATTTGTATTCAGTAATCGTTCTGTTTATTTTGTAATAATTATAATTCGAGTAGAAGATGTTAATGATACGACAAGCCTCTTTGGTTTTGTCACTCATAGGTAAGTTATTTTTTTATTTATTTATATTATAGGTATTGATATCGAGATAAAGCAGCAAACTCTATTGCAAAACCACTTCATTAATTTTAAGCAAAAATATCATTAATCTGCAAACAAATCCATAATTAGTTGGATTTTTGTATACACCATGGTGTTCTAAAAATGTGCTAGCATTGTGAGTTCAAAATCTCGCTTTGGCATACCGATTTTCTATAACCTGGAACTCCATTGAGATTTTTTTTAAATTATAGAACTTCATAAGAGAACGTATACATTTTTTCATAACACTAACCGTTTTGGTAGTATAGGGCGGACCAAAATTCAAAAACTTTTTTATTAATTCAAAAAAGTACAATTTGCTAAGAAAAGTTGGTGTATAGTCTAAAAACCAATATGTAATTATCTAAAATTATATTGCGTAAATTTTCGGATTCTTCAAAGTCTGCAAAATTATTGGAATTCTTGGCGCAAAGTTGATAGTTCATTCTGCACATGATTAAAAAGAACAATGCCGTATATTAGATTATACATTTTTTTTTAATTAACGCATTTCTGAGATTACCTACAAGTAAAATAACGACATTATACTAATGAAAATCGGACAGAAACTAATAGAATGTTCAACAAGCCTTAATATAAATTTTGACATGTCCGCTATTCTTATTTTATGCATTTTTTGGACAATGAACTGTTATCAAAATGTAAAATTTTTTGAAAATCAATGATAAAAACTTTGCAGACTTGTTGGCGAACACTGTATAGTCGAAACGGAATTCTATAAGAATCGACAGAGATTATATCCCGATAATTTACTACTTATTTAAATTAAACTATATTATACAGATATTCATAAACAATTTTGGATGCAATAAACTAGGTGCGGACTCAAATAAATTTATAAGGTATATAATTTAGACAACCTATTATTTTTGTTGTTAATTTTGGTGCTATTTTAAATAATATTAATATTGCTATGATTAAACAAATCATGGTAGATTAACCAAACTTTACACGCAAATGAATATTAGCCCAAAATATGGATCTAGAGAGCGAATAGCGGCTTAGCTCCACTAAGGGCGTTTTTGGAACAAATTATGCAATAACGAATTAAGCGACAAAATTTAAAAATCGAGTAAAAGGTGCCATCCTTTAATAATCATTAAAACTTATATTACAAAACTTATTCTTATTTAAAAATCCCTATTTTACAGATTTTAAAAACACGTGCATTAAGCGACATTTTATATTTGCCAAAGAAAAACTAGCTTTCTGTTCCTGTTTCTCGAAAACACGTAAATGTCGCTTGATTCACAACTACATAATGGGGTCCATTTAATACATATACTTAATACCTCTACTTAATACCTCTACTTAATACCTCTACTTAATACCTCTACTTAATACCTCTACTTAATACCTCTACTTAATACCTCTACTTAATACCTATACTTAATACATCTACTTAATACCTCTACCTAATACCTTTTCTCAATAACTGTGCTTAATACATAAACTTTGTACCCAGACCTAATAAATACACGAAACATATACTTAATACCCAAAGATATATAACCAAGACAGATATGATCATTTACAAAAGCGTAATTAGGCTCGACCGTTATTGTAGTATTTGTAAGTAGAGTCGTAGATTTTTTTCATTTATAAAATTCTTTCGATACAGTGCTAGTCCAGGAGTCAATGAATTTTTTTCGTACTTATTTTCCCGGTCGGTGTATATTTAAATAATTTTATCCCAGTGAACTGTATATTTAAAATGGAACGCCAGTCTCTATTAACAAAAGTAAGCCAAATTGAATTCGCGCATTACGTCACAACGATACAGGTGAGCTTGCGCACAAAGTGCCTTTGCTGGTCTATTTTGGCCATTTTATGTATTTGTTTTTAAATCATGAGAAATTAATATTTTTGAAACTCAACAAGAAGAAAATCCAATTAACTGTTCCGTTATATTTTTCTAAAGGTGTGTCTTTACCACTAAGTAATAAATTTCACATTTTTTACCATATACGGGGATGTCAAAAAATATAAATAAGGGCAGTTACTTATTTTTAAAAATATGGAAACATTTTATATGGAATCAGAGCCACCTATCTCAAAAAACAAAATTGATATGCAATAGGTATCGACATATTTTATTATTTCTTACTCTAAGAATAACAAACGTTTGTTTTGAAATTCATTTGTAATAGATAAACCAATAAATAAATTTGGTAAAATTTACCTTCAGATAGTCTGGAGGCTTTTTCCACGAAGGATCTAATGGAGAGTGTTAAACCTGATAGAAACAATAGATTTCTTTACACGCACATATCAACTGGGAGCATAAAAATGTTAAAGTGACGAGGCCTAAAACCTTGATTAGCGGCATTAATTTCATTAGAATAATATATTTACATTTAAATAAAACACGCTAAGATAAATTAACTGTAGTTATATTAAAATTTTCCATAAAAACGACCCCATCTCTAGCAACTAATTTTCAGTGATTTAAGTTATGATTCAGGTTTTATTTTTGTTTTAATAAATTAAAAAAGTTCTTTATCGTTAATAAAAATTTAGTAGATGAAAAATACGTTTTTTACATTTTTAATGTCATGGGCTTAAAATAAATCCGGCAAAAACTCAAGCAATATGCTTTGGTAATGTTACCAAAGTTATAAAAGATAATTTGAATATCGAAATTGATAACTCGTGCGTTAGGATCATTTTTACATTAACATCTAGAGATCATGTTTCAAACAAATTGAAAGAATTAGGGTGGCTTAATATGTTTAATAGACGAAAACATCATATGGCTTCCTTGGTACACAAACTGCTGAGAAATAATAATCCAGCATACCTTAGGAAAAAATTGACATTTAGCTCGAATGTTCATAACCGAAAAACTAGAAATACTAGCCTTCTTGTTATACCTAAACATAGAACAACTATCTACAAGAGATTTTTCACTGCAGTCTAACTCTTTACCTGATCAATGTAAAAATAAATCTCTAGAAATCTTTAAAAAATTATTGAAAAAATTTATTTTGTTTTAAAGTTTGTGTTTATGTATTGTTAATTTTCTTATTGCATGTGTCTTTATAAAATGTATAATAAATAATTTAAATCTAAATAACAATGTATATTTGTATTATATAAAATGTATTTGGTACTCGGTTGAGTGGAACAGATATGCTGGACTTCGCCGAGGCTTATTAAAATAAATATGTTTATTATTATTATTATTATTTACAGAAAATAGCTAGGTATGTATTTGTTTTTAAATAATTTGACAATTTATGAAAATGGGAGTAAAAGTGGAATTACCAGCGGCCAACAGGTCAATACAATGTAGCATATATCTCTATTATAATATAACTAAAATACCTACATCTTTTAATCAGAAGGGCACAAGTTACAAAACCATTTTAATATATGCTTTAGAATGAAGTAATATTAACTTATTAAAGAGACAAGGTCTTAAAGTAACAGCTGGTACAGCATGTTTTTTAAACGTTTCCTAGTTTCTGCTAGAATGAAGTCACTTTCTATGAAATGTACACTAAAAACGGCATTTATGGTAGTCAGCGTTTCAGTCTTAGTATCTCTTCCTAAAGCCTTCATTCAAACTGCATACCTTTAAAAGTTACTTTAAAAAAACATGATATATAACTATATAGTTTTCGGTTCTGGGTGCCCCAAAAGAGGACACAGCCGACAATTTGGCTCAGATAGCTAAAACACAACAATCGCACCCCGAACCAGGACGTATTGCTATCCTTTTAAGTAAAAAATAACTAGTCATCCTTACCTGAAAAATGGATACGTCTGACTTTTACACCACAAAACCATACACTTTTTTCCATTGTTGCAAGAACCCGATGACGAATAGGTAGATATCAACCAGAAGCAGGTACTTAATTGTTATACAGCTTATTTTGAAAAAAAAAAAAGAACAAAGCACTTATCAAAAAGCAGCAATCAAATATAAATAAACCACACAATTAAAATTAAAATTAAAAACTATGACTATAAAAAACAGATACTCTATAAACGCAAAAGATCAGAACCAAACAAAACGACTAACCGTAATAACCTTAAAATCACACTCAAAATTGTAAAAACTAGTACTGTAAAAATCATGAGATTACATCAATAATGCACGTCAGAGTATCGCAAATGTCAAAAGTACAGTGTTTTCATGAAAATTTAGCTATGTTTTTAGCAGCATTATTATTATTAAGACCATTTTTACCACGCGCACCCAACAATATTGGCGTTTCATTTAAATATACAGTTCACTCTCTTTTCCTCACACCTATAGTATAAATGATTTGACATAACGAAACTAACAATAATTATAATAATGTAGAGTAGACTTTTGTCAAAACTGTAAAGAAATTCTAAAACTAAACAGCAATAAGTGTTTCGTGAATTCTAACTAAAATAATTATTATATAAAAGTGTAAAAGGAAATGTAATTTATCTCCCTATTTTCTTTTGTAATTTCTTTAATTATTTTTTATTTCTATAAATAATCCAATTGGTGAGGTGCTACATTGTGATATATGATTTTATTTTTGTGTCCTATGCGTACACTTTAATATACAAAACACCTGGAACATTCTTTAAATAGTTGTAGTTGTAGGATAAATTGTGTACATAACTCGTTGGAAAGTGTATTTTATGCACATGCCAAATTATATTATCCATACTCACAGATTAATCAGACTATTTTTTTACTTAACTTCAGTATACCTTTTACTACTAGAACTATTTTTATCACTGGAAAAAAGGGGACGTGTTTTTGTATGTACCTCAACCCATCGGACCCCCCTCTAAATATATATGAATTTTGTTTAGAATTACTAACCCTCCAATTCTGTATCCATATTTGCTGGCTGTGAAAATAAATACCGAAAATCGTCACTGTCTCCTGGACTATACAGTTAGTAGATGATGAGACTCTGGCAGAAATGTTTTACGAAGATAATCGGTCCTCTCACTCCGATTTAGAGATGGCGTGATGGCTTCACAACAAATACACTTTTATCAATTGCTAGTTGGGGATGTGTTAATACATATACTTAATATCTACACTTAAAATACATATACATGATACATATACTTAATAGCTACCTAATATTTATACTCATACTTGTACTTAACATCTATACTTAATAGCTATATTTAAAACGTATGCGTAATACCTATACTTAAAACCCATACCTAATACTACCTTTATTATATTATTTCTTAGCTACCGCTTTTGGCAGTAATAATAGCTACAGTCGAGAATTGGTGCAAGAGAAATATCCTGGATTTGGAAGAGATTATTTAATATTTCTTGATGAAAATAATGAAGAGGTTTATGGGTACTTAGCCAGAATGAAAATAAATTTTAATATTTTTAATCTTATTGTTGATGCTGAAAAATCTGTGACTTTTAAACTTTACACACGGTGAGTTTAGTTTTTAACCATACGATGATTGCAAAAAAATATCTAGTTTATTTGAACGATTCTAAACAATTTTTATGTATAAAAAATTTAAACAATCATAATAGGGCTTCTTTAATATTGCTGTTCAGTATAACTCATAGTAGGTTAGCAGTTTACCATGAAGAAAAGTACACCATAAAAGTGGAAGAACACCGGCACAACACAAATAGTACAAATTTCGAAATAAGACGTTTGAAATATACGTTTAAAAAAATAACTTGTCAATAACCTGTTTTACTAAATTACCAAGAAGTTAATCTGACTTTATTTTTCTCTAAAAAGGATCAGTGCTAGATCTGCCTCAAATTCATAAATTTAGAAAACCTAAAAAAAATTTTATTGTTATAACTAAAAGAAAATTAATTACTATAATAAATTATTTTAGTCAATAGCAACATAAGTTTAAATATGGTATAAAATAAAAATGATAATCAATAAATATGGAAAATAACAACTTAAATTAAAATAAAACATGTAAACAACTATTATACAAAATTATTTTCCAAAGAAAACTGACGAATCTAAAAATCATAAGTTATTTATAATTTATAAATTATTTGTTTAGGAAAAACTGATGTAACTCTAAATATGAAGGTTATGCTCTAATAATATGATTGAAAACTTTCCATTTTCCGAAATGTGATGATAGTTTTGAACAAATAGTAACCTACACTATTCAAGACAACTAACGAACTACTGAATATGTAATAGTTTTTTGGGAAGGGAGTTGTCAGTTTTGAGATTTCAAAACTGACGTTACCTCTAGTGAGCGAAAACACCAGTTTTTTAGACACTCTTTCACATAAAAAATCGTTAGTTTTGGCTTGTATGTATTCAAAAAGTACAAAATTAAAAAAACTTTTAAATGTGACAGTTTTCTTCCAAGATGGCGATATAAGTAAAATACCGTAGTACGTCTAAAATAAGTCGCACTGTGTTTTCATTTAATTAAAAAAAATAGTTTTTTCTAATATCCTTTATGCCTTTATCGCAAGAATATAAACACTAAATGAGATAAAGGAAACCCCTACCTAATTCCAAACAAATAAAATATACTTAAAAATAAAAAAGTAAAGAATATTTTTTTAAAAACTACCACAAATATAATTTACACATAAAATTAAAAAATTTTAAAAATACACCCCCTCATAGAATTTCGATTTTGGATATTTTTATTAGTGTTATTTGTATAACACCTCCAATTACTCCAATAATTGATTATTTTTTATAGAGAGCTTCGGAGTGGAAAGACGATTAATAGTGTGGAAGATTTGGGTAGTGAATTCGTGAACACAAAAGAAACCAAATTTGTTACTCATGGATTCAGATCCAGCGGGATATCGGATACATGCATTACTATTAAAGACAATTATCTTAATAAATCTGATGTCAACGTATTCGTAATGGATTGGAGCCCAATATCAAGTAAGTATATTTAACTAACATTGATTAACATATCATCATAAAATCCAATGCAAATATGGACAGAAGGCTTCGCGAAAGGTGCAGAAAAAGAAAAAGCTTCGATCGTTGCTCTAACTTTCAAAGGAACTTGATAATTTCTTTCGTATTTTCTTTTGACTCAATTGACCGTTCCTTGTTTTTCATTTTTTTCACATCACTGGTTATTCTGTTTTAATCCACGTTGACTGTGACATCCAATTGTTGTATTGTGGAGTTGAATGTCTTCCAATCTTATTGGTTCCTGCCGCACCTTACTGTTATATTATTTTCAATTAGTTTTAATTAATTGTTGTGAATTGTTTAATACACAACCAATTTATAAAAAACTATGTTTAACATTGTAGAAAATCATATTTACTTCTATTATTTCTCTGACTAGTTAAACAAAAACCATTCTAATTCGTCTAACAAGGGAATTGGGACTAAAGTACTAATAAACATTTTCCTTTTTAGAAATATTATGGTACGACATCCCGAAAACAGCTACAGACAATGTAGGCGAAGTTTACTCGAAATTTATAAATCAGCTTATAGAAAAAAAGCAAGTTGATCCAAAAAATATTCATCTAATTGGTCATAGTCTAGGAGCTCATGTTTCAGGATTTGCAGGCCGAAGAATTAATGGAAAAGCTGCAAGAATTACAGGTATTTGTATGTATATAAAACTAAAAAAAAATCAATGTTTATTTTTTCTACAAGTGAGAGGTATGCGATTAAGTAAGGGTCGGGAGTATAGCTCGACAGAACAAAGGTCTATAAATCTTCACCAAGGCAAAGTTGTTGAGAAGAAGGCCCAGTTGAATGAGATTCTAAGGTAGGACTATCACACAGTCGGTCACATCCATGTAATGGGAATGACCAACCAATAACAACCCACCAGAGGAAGGTCAGTAGCCATTTTAAAGCTAATGGGGCAAAGTTACTGCCCTTTTCTGGGAAATTTGGTGAAAAATCCCTGAAATGGATCCAACTTTGAAATCCCATGAGGTTAGGGACAGGGAAGAAAGAGTACGACCCTCCTTGCAGGAATCTAAAACAATCATTGACACGAAAAATAGATCAGCACCAATACACTTAAAAAAGCAGTCACCAAGCGGTAGAACAAATTGTGCGTAATACCAGATAACAGATAACCAACAAAACATAGGATGTCAATGAGGTTCCATCCGAAATATCACTTGTTATCTAGGTGGCATCTAGGCAACCAATATTACCTTTTTCTTGCATTTTAGTGGCATATGCATAATTTTATTGACAAATAAAACATTATATTATTGAAAGTGAATATCAAAGAAGGGCAACTTGACCTATAAAAAAAGAATTTGTTTTGTTTTGTTTTAATCCTTATTTTTCATTCTAAATTAGCACAAAATAATTAAAACACAATATACGACAAAATAACTCACTTTTTTAAAATCTAAATAAATTTAACAAGGCATATAAGCCCGTTACAAGTCGTTGAGAATAAATTAATACATGATTATTTGTCAATAACAGAATGAAATTAATCATTATGTAACTAACAATATACGACTGTAGTAATATTGGTTGCTTAGATGTCAGTAATATTTTATTAAAACACAATTTTTTAAATAATCTAGTGAAAATTAGGAAAAAAATTTGTATGTTACACGTTACAAAATGTCGTTCGTGTTGCTCGTCCCGCAAATATTCACTCGTTACATAAAATAAGGCATTCTTTAACTGGTTTCATCAATAGCTCTTATCGTATTAAATTATTGGGTAATAAATGGCATTAAAATATTAAAATATTTTATTAAAATATTTATAAATTCTTTAGGTCTGGATCCAGCGTTGCCTGGTTTTGACGTAGAAAATGAATTGCGACTGAACAATCAAGACGCAGATTTTGTTGATATCATTCACACATGCGCTGGATATTTAGGAATAGCTAGTCCAATTGGCCACGTAGATTTTTATCCAAACGGAGGAAGTGTTCCACAACCAGGTTGTGGTCTATTACAGGTCAGTACACGAATTATTAAAGAACTCAGCAGTTACAGAATATTATTTAGTTGCACATAAAAAAATATACAGGGTGTCCCATTAGTGCGTAATTGCTCGATAAATTTGTATTTTAGACATGCAAAATCTTCGGAGAATGCTTTGCCTGGAGATATATCCCAGCAATATGGCATCAGGCGAAAATAGTCTACCTTGCCAAAGTAGGTAGGGTCACAGACCAAACGCCAAAGTCATATCGCCCCATAAGCCTAGCCTCCTTCCTACTTAAAACTTTAGAAAAATTGATAGATAAGTATATCAGGGAAGAACTAAATCCGCTTCATCCCAATCAATATGCAATAGATAAAAAAAAATTCTGCAACTGTAAAATTAAATTGGTTTGAACTATACGTATTAGAAAATAAAATATTAATAATTTTCTCTCGGTAATTAATGATGGAAATTTATGAACGGCGGTGAATTTTATCACTCTGCACTCACGAAAAGAAAAATGACTGTTGCACTTGTAAGAATGACGGTTAATATCCTCATTTGTTCGGTTTAAAGTTTCTCTTATGTAGTCCATAGCTTCTACAAGAGAGAAACCCTTTCTCCGAGCTGTTAAAAGACTAGGAACTGAAACAGCTCTGATTATCGACGGGGGGAAACAAGCGAAAACTGCTATCACCCCCTGGTTAACGCAAAAATTGATGAAGGGTTGTTACAGGTTTTATTCTACCTAAATCTATTTTAGTCTAAAATACCCTAATTTTACACTATCTTATTCTAAGCTACTCTAAACTAAACTACACTATTCTAAATTATTCTACGCTTAACTATTTACATTATTCTACTTCTAAACTATTCTACGCTTAACTATGTACACTATTCTACTTCTATTTGATTCTTATATATCTTAAGCTACTCTAATTACTAAACTACCCTATTACTTACCTATTCTACTATAACCTATGCTAATCTCTTTAGTTATCTTTAGATTTAAGATTGTACAGGTATATAAATCCAGAGTATAAATTCATAAAATATCCATTTTTATCAAACAGTGATTTGCATTAAAATATAATCTCACCTGGGTTATTATCAATAGTATTTAGTGCATTCAATAAATAATAATTTATAGTCTAGTAAATATATTTTGCTACTTCGAGTAATGACTACAGATCTTTTAAATATTAAACAACTTTAAATTTGGTTTGTTATTGTTTTCACCCCCTTCAATTGTCAAATTCTTCTAAATTTGTAAATAGTGACCACAGTCTTACCAAAAATTATCCTATGAACCTTTGTTAGTCAGGACCTTTATAAGACATTGACTTTTGTTGCCATTTTGTAGAACTTCCTTCCTGGGCCAGTTTTTGCTTGGATTCTGATTGTGGCATGTGCCAAGATTTCAGCTAGGATTTTCTAGGATTTATTCTTGTCTAAAAACTTCCTTCAGTTTGATATATATTGTTTAGTAATCTTTGTGATTCATACACCTAGTGGTGGATATAGTATCGGGCTGAAAGTGTGAATTTAATAAATTAATAACTAAGAGATCACATACCATCAAGGGTGAGTTTTTCAAAATGAATTATTATTTCACTTACCTATGTTCCCAACAGCCTTCTGTATAAATAATCGTTACAATCGTCAATGTTTTTCAGACCTCCTTGGTTCGCTTCTTTCAATCGTGCGTTCCTTCCTTCCTTCCTTCCTTTGCTTCGTTTTATTATCGAAGACCTTCACTAAGTGATACAATCTGCGTGCAAGTTTCCCAGCTTTTGAAGCATTAAATAAGCAGGCCATCAGCTGTTGCCGTTTTGCCGCTCGCAAAGAAATCGCCCACAGACAAGGTAGTTCTTGTTAGGCTACCGTTTGCTGCCAATCTACCATCATAACCTGTCGCAGGATATCTGGACACCCAGTGTAGTTATTTCAAGACCAAAACCCCGGATTGTCAAGTAAGACGGTCTCTGTTTATTTGTTTTGCGAATTGAGCCCCATTTAGTGCTCCGACCTAACCTGAACCGGTCTGGGGGCATTCTCTACGACGGTAGCAATTGTAAATACTTTACATAAGTGTAGTTATTAATTATAAGTAGTTTAAAGGGTTTTAAGGGGATTCATTTCACTATAGATAGTTATAAACATTTGCGTACCTGATTTGCCGGATTTTGTAAGCGACCGGACCTAAATCCAATTTGCTTTATTACCCTAACAGGTACTAAGAAATTAAAAGTACAGGTCGAATTCCTTATGTAAATAATAGAAACGTAAATGAACGTTGCAGGGAGAATTATTAGACGGAATTTTAAATAAAATGCCTACCTTGATTATTTCCTCACAATCGTCTACGGTACACGAAATATAAATCACGAAAAATCGGTTTCGACTACGGTCAAGCACAATATCACTTAAAACGGTCAAAAAGCGACGAAAGGCGGGATGGAAGAGAGCCCTGTCATCGAAGACATCTGCTTTTATCAAAAGTTGGACTTTTGCCGAGTGGGGACGGTAATTCCTACTCCTTTGTTATTAATCGTTTTGCAAAAAAACGTTGATTGATCGGCATACTAATAAACCTACTAGAATTGAGATTTGATGAAATGATTTAATTTATTATGATAATGAAAAGTTTTAAACTACGAGGGCTCTTGCAAAGGTTTAAAAACGGTAATTCTATGGAAATATTAGTTACGGGGGTCTCGCAAATGTTCATAGATGGAAATTAGTTTTAGAAATTAATTTATGGAATAAATTAATGGAAATTTTTAGTGACTTCGTCACAAATGGAAGCAAAAAGAGTCTCAGGAATGATGAAACAACTATCCAAGACTGAGACAGGCCAAACAGTTCATCAAGGAACCATCAGCCAAGTTCACGAACGACCTACTGGATCAAAAGAGTCAAATCGTTAGGATAACAGTAGGGATTCTTACCGGACACTGTCGCCTTAAAAGGCTTATGAGTGTCATCAATTCAGCAGAAGAAGCAACTTTGTGCAGATTCTGTGAAGAAGAACAAGAGGAAACATCATTTCACGTCCTGTGCCAATGTGAAGGCCTGGCTGGAATGAGGTTTCTTACATTGGGCGAAGAAAAGCCAAATGCATGCAACTACATGCAGGAGCCACTGTCAAAGCTACTTAGTCTAATAAAAAAGACCAGGCTAGACGACATACTTTAAAACGAACAGAGTCCCACAATAGATCTGAAAAGGTCGCGGTGGATAAGGACAAATAACGTCCAACTCCCAATCTAATCTAATCTAATCTAATTATAGACACAAACAAGTTTTAAATAAAGTATTTATGGATTTTAAAAAGACATACTTAAAAAAATATTTTTGGATCTACAGGATTTTGTGCTTTTGCCTGGCAAATAAAAATAAATATTTTTTTTTAATTAAACACCCTGTATTTTATTTCAGTTTTAGAATGAGCTGGTAACACTGTATTCAAGCCTAAAATATTTTTGAAAAATATTACAGCGTTGCCAACCAATTATTTTGGTGAATTTGAGAATTATGCAAATGTCAAATAAAATTATCATACTATAGGTAGGTTAGCAATGATTTTAAAATTCATTTTATACAAAGCGTTTTAAATATGGCTAATTTTCTGTTAGTTTTTTTTAAATAGAACACCCTGTATATTATTTTCGCATAAACTTGTTAGCCAAATATACACATACAGGGTGTCCCATAAGTGCGTAATTGATCTATAGCTTTTTTTTTTTTAATTGGAAATAGGAAGTAATTTTTAATACAAAAGTTATATAACCATATTATTTAACAATTATTCCTAAATATGCAGGGTTATCCATAACCGAGGAACTGACCAAACTTATACTTTTTGAAGGTTGCGCATATTTGATTGTTTTCACATTGTCAAACAATTTTAATAGACTTCACTCATTTGCTATGTTGTAGGTATATAGGGTGTGAGAAAACGTGCGGTTACGATTTTTTCAATTCATTAAATGGAATACCCTGTATGTTATACCACCAAATAATTAACTAATTTCTTTAATATTTATTTTTTTAGCAAAACAAATATTTAAGTTTTTTATTTTATTTACAATAGTTTATAACACTTGCGACGTCGGGAGAACATTTCTAAAAAAATGGGTTAACAAACGTTTTGGACGTTGACTCTATTGATTTTAATTGTTATAAAATTAGCAGTTTGATTCGTAATTAATTCAAGACAACTCTCTGTAACAGTCCTTGAGTTTTACCTCTAATTATCATCATTGATCATCCTTTAACTACATATTTTTGAAATATGCCGCTTAAAATCCATACATTTTTTATTAGAATCTTGCTGTTTGTCTATATCACAAATTGATTTAAGGAGCAATTACGCACTAATGGAACACCCGTTATATAATGAAATCAAATGAATCAACTCCTATAATCTCTTTAAAAATAAGATTTGATTTTAAAAATACCAATAAACACAATGAAACAAATTTTAAATTCAAAATATTGCTTGTTATAGTAGTTCCAAATGTTCTAACAAATTCTTATAAAAATTTCGTATCGCACACTTTTTAGTAAAATAAACTATATTATTATGAAACAGTCTACAAGTGCCTCTGGTTTTCCCAGAATTTCTAATTTTTTTATTTAAAAGCATTGTAAAATTTTCCTAATTGATTTATTCTAAAAAACAGAATGTATAGAGAGAAGGTTTTGATTGTGACTATTTTTCAGTTATTGGAAGCTTGCAGTCACAGTAGAAGCTGGGAACTTTTTGCTCACAGTATTAACAATACCGTACCTTACATGGCATCTTCTTGTGATGATTTTTCTAATTCACTCGGGAAACATTGTAATGGCGACAGTGTTGTGATGGGAGAAGCAACTCCAAATACAACTAGAGGTGTATACTACTTAGAAACTACTGCTACTGTTCCATATGTTAAAAGTATTTCCACAATTGATGATAACCATTTATAAAAATAATAAAATTTACTTAATAATGTTGTTTTTTTTTGTTTGTAAGTAAATTAAAAACTGAACTCCTCAATTCCCCCACGAAAATATTGAATATATTCTCACAACTACAAGGTGAAAACAAACCAAATTAGTCTTATTGCTCAGTGACATTTGATTGCATGTATTGTTTTATGCGCAGGCCTGGCCTGTGAATGCAATGTTTAAATTGAGCATTGAGCGATGTATGACTCATGAATAATTGCTGTCAGTGGTGTACGTATCATTTGAATTTATTTCCTACAGATTAGAAAGATAGTTTAGTTAACAGGAATGTATAAAATATTTTTACAAAATATTGGTTACGGAGATAAAACACAAAGATCGAAGTTGTTCGCCTATTTCCAGGACAGTACATGAGGTACAATAGTTTTCAGAATTTATTATTTATCTTTTACCGTGGTGAGGCAGAACAAATCTTTATTTAAAATGAATAAAACTCAAAGCCAATATCACATAAATACCAACGACTGTTTCCCTTCAGAAAACAACTACTCCTTTGGCTAATACCGCAACAGGTATTGAATTATATGCGAAGGAAAGACAGCAGATATAGAAATGAAATTTCAACACTCTCTACCTTTGATATTTCTTACTTTGGAGAACATTTTTCTTGGACCGGTTTCATCCTTATAGCACGCTTCAGCAAGAAATAGATAGGTTCTCAATTCCAGTCTCTGATGGAATTAACAAATGCTACACATTTCACCATTTTGGTATACTGGTATACTCGAATGTTCTACAAAATTAAAAAGCTGAATTTGAATTATTGTAACAAAAATAAATCATTAAAAAGAAAAAGGAAATAAAACTGGTTACATAAAATAAATATTTCTTTTATGTATGTATTTGCATTTATTTTTCTTCATAGCTCGTGCCTTAACTATCCCATAATAATACCCTTACATATTTGATGTAATTTCTAAAATATTATCTTTTAAGATACATGAAATTTCTGAATATAGCATATATTTTCCTTAAACTTAGTCAGTATTTTTAAATTCTCGCCTATACAAACTCTACTATAACGTCATGCGCGTGACTCTGTTGATATCCTACCTTTTCTTTTTTAAAAACCTCTCATTCCTTAACCAGCGACTACAACAAGTGGTATAAATTATTATAAAATTAAGTTATATCCAGGGTGTTGTTCCTGCTGCTGGTTTGGAATGAGAGGTTTTTAAAAAAGAATATATTTTTTTTGTAAAGGGTGCTGCTGTTGTAGCTGTTGGAACAAAAACAAAAAGAAGCTCGTAATAAGGAACTATTATCAAGACGAGATCCTACACAAGATCCTGCTCAACCTTCATCTTCTCATGACGTTTCGGATATTGAACAACACGAAGGATATGGTACCCAAATGAGTCAAGTGAATGCACCCATGAATACCGACGAAGTAGATGGCGGAGAGGAAATGGGAAATCCGTCCAATACGGAAGGGGTTACAAATCCTACAAATGTAATGGATGTACTCTACATGATGAAGTCACTGGCAAGTCCTACATTTACATTCTTTAAGAAATCACGCATCATGCAAACATGGGGATTTGCATCACACCGATTTAATTTAGGACCAAAAGGTAAAGAAAGCAACTATATGGGTTTAAGTACAAGCGTAGCACACGTACCTGTCGACTGGATACCATTTTATTTATCTCATGTGGAATATTCCATGTTGCCACTGAATCCTTTATTAAAAATGTTTACGTAGAAATAATACCAAAAGGAGTCAGATGCTCATTCGACACTGGTACGACATAAACCGAAAGTGCCAATTCTATGCACGTAATTTTGGGAAAACATTATGTGGGTTTGAACCATAAAGTCGAACACGTCAACTATATTTTGAAAAATGATAAGAAAAACCGATGACCAAAAATTCGCTCGCAAATATTTCGTCGTCGGAATTTACCTATAGATTATACGAGGAGACCGGAAATTATTATTCCAATAAGGATCCTGTTTCTCCTTCTTCCTGGGGTGCAAATAGAGCTCTACCCGCCTATACCGTGCTCATGTGTACGGGCAATGTGTCGACCAATAGTTATTACATCAAAACTAGATGGCCTCGTTTGGACAGAATTTTCGAAAGGTATAACCTCACTGAGCATATCAATACTCCGTGCATAAAGTATACGTATAAACCCAGAAATGGCATTTTAAAGCATCTTTACAACTCGTTCGTGGTACCGAATAAATTGAAATTACTTTCCGGAAGGCTCTACATTGGAGTAAAAGAAACTCAGTTTTTGGTAGATAACAATATCAAAAATACTCATCTGAGCTTCTTGCCTTGTAGAGAAAAAGAAGCAAAACTTTGGTTACGAAAATATAATCGAAAATAATTTTATGACTGGACACCCGAACAAGTCACATACGATATCTCAACCTCAAGTTCATATTGGCACTGAACTGGTACAAGCTAATGCACCTGCCGATGCCAATCAAAATTGGTTGAATTCGTTCGCGGAATATGAAATTCGCGCAAGTTACAGAACAATGACCTGCCGACTCAACACATTCCACATGGTCAAAGGTATAGCGACGCAACCACGGCCAGCCAATGTCCACCCATGTCAGCATTTATTTTTAGTATAAATAGATTGCCAATTAATATTATTTTTTAGTCTGATATATATTTTTTACTTTGCAGTTATAATATAAAAATTAATAAAAGTATTTTCAAAAAAAAAATTATTAATTTTTAAAAAGTGAGTTTGAAAGTCAAAATTCATATATCGCATCATGTGTCATCGGTATTCGTACCGACCTAATGTATGCCGATGGAATGTATGCAAATAAATTAGGATTCCCATCGGCGACTAAACAAGTTAATCAAAATTATTTCCTTTCTCAGGATCATGTCAGTGGACATTACTGTCAAAATTGACAGGGTCATTATAATAACAGTGATTGTATATGTAATATGTATATTTATTGACATAAAGTGTTACAATGTAATAAATTTATTCATTAACAACAATAGTTTTAATTATTCCATACAATTTCCATAATTTATACAATGCTAATAAATGAAAATGTTTAGTAAAATTAGATAATAAAGTACAATTATCCCAAGTCAATCTATACATGCAATTATTAAAAATATCGATATTTGGAAAGACCTCCGCATTTGTCGTTACAATCACCGAAGTTTTATCTATTTTAACATGTGATTGATATTTTATATTCACACAGGGATCTCCCGCAAATAACATTTTACAGGTATCATAAGCTGACGGTTCGCAATTCGGTTCATCCCATATTAAAATTCGATTATCCACACAATAATGCAGAGGAAATTGTGAATACTTATTAAAATTTGCGATTTGTCCTTTAACTAAACACAAGGACGCACATATTTTGGCAAAAAGTGTTTTCCTGCGTTGTTAGGTCCCTTTATTTGAATGCAATTGTAAAATTTGTGTAATTTTCGAACCTTTTTGACGTTTTGATGGGCTGCAATTTTTTCCCTTACGTCCTTTAGTAGATTTTGTAGATTCAGATTTCTCTCTACCATCAACGGCGTCACTACGAATTGCACAGATTTCGTCATCTTGGTTCAAATTTGTTCCTTGGTCACCTTCTTGGCTTCCTTTAATGGAATCAATTTCATTTGGACCAGGTACTTCCCGTTAGGCGCCGGCGAAGAAATAGTAGAGACAGATTCGGGGTTGTAAAAACATATATATTCCGAGATTTCGGAAATATTCTGTAAATAAAATAAATTCTTTTGCTAAACCTAGAATGAACAACATTCCAAATTTAAATAAATAGAAATATATTTTATTTACCTCCTCGCAACTCTTGGCTCCACTGAGCTCGTCGTTCTCTTCTAAGAAATCTGACTCTCTGGAATATACAGCATCGGCAGGTTTCTGCTGTCCACCCGCGATGGTGGACGATGTGATGATGGTTCCATTCGACGCTTTCATGATAACTGTTGATGAGGAGTTGTCCGTAGTATCGCTGGTTTGCCAATTGGCTAACCAGATCAAAGCCTTGTTGGTAATCTCCGACGGGAATGACGTTGTGGCAATATCTTCTTTTTGAGACGAGCTCCAGTAAGGTCTTCCACGAATTTACTTCTTCTTGTTTCCCAGATTCTAAAATCTCCAGGATCTTACTCAAAATCCTTATTAATGGTAATACCGGGTGTCCAAATTGTAGCAGCCATTTCTTCGAACAGTTCTTCAACAGAGTCCACAATTCCATCGGAATCCGCCATATTTCTTGAATTAAATTTAAAGTATATTTTACGTTACAACAATTGGTTTCGTCTTTAATTAGTTCCGCCATTAGATAAATTCTGCTGCTAATACCTCGTATTCGAGATATTTGAGAAAATGTGTTAATTTCGAATTTTGAAGAAAACTCAAACAAAAACGGACAAAGGAAAAAACATTAAATTTTAAAATTAAGTTTTATTTCGGCCTGACGTGAAATGATTAGATTTTGGACAAAGTCCGAACATCTGGAGGCCGCTTTTATATTTTATGGAATATATCTGTTATTTATGTTTGGAGAAGAAAATTGTTGAAATTAAAGTTTCCTGCTAATATTATTATTTATAATTTTTGCTTTATCTCAAATTTTTCTGAAATGGTCCGTATTCGAGAAATTTGACAAAATGTGCAAAATTCTGATTTTTAAGAAAATTGTTAAACTAAAAGTTGTTTGCGATATCGATCTCTATAATTTTTGTTCTTACATAATTTTCTAAAATGGACCGTAATGGAAAAATTGGAGGAAAAGTGCTAAATTTAAATTTTTTAGTATTTTCGTTTTCAATGAATATCTATAGAAAAATGTTTCGAGTTAGATGTATGTGGAAAATGTATATATTTAGTTTATCCTCTAAACATTTTTAGAGGTGCTGCAATAGGTTGTACAAAATAACCGGCAAAAGCCTATAATAACTAGATAGGAAAGTCATGTGTTGGACACATCAGATTTTTCCTTTCATATTCTAAATTTTTAATTAGTTATATCAAGCATGTGGCTGGAAAATAACTTTTCTTTAATTATTCCTGGGTTGGGCTTGACCTTGTTTATGTTATCTTTTTTAACGACTTGTGTGTGCATTTGACTACATTGTAACATAATTGCACAATATACAGGGAATTTTTTATCAGCAGCATCGGTTTTGAATCTAAACATACTGGAAGCTTGTCACAAAAACATATTGTTTTTGTTTCAGCAGCTACAACAGCAGCACCCTGTATAAAAAAATATATATTCTTTTTTAAAAACATCTCATTAGTTAACTAGCTTTTTTATTGTTTTGGTATCGCTATCAATATTACCACTATATATATATATATATATATATATATATATATATATATATATATATATATATATATAAAATTCAAACTAATTTATTGGGGGCAGCAGCAATATGTAATAAAGAAAACTCTTTAAAGATGATCCAAGCTTTCGGAAATTTAATAACTTATTTCCATCTTCAGGGAATCTACAAAAGGTGTGGTGTGTCTTCATAGGAACATAATATTATTAAGAGAGTGAGTTACTTACATCTTTGTGAGGATGAATTATTAATGATGTTAAATATGTTAAATTTTATGATTTTGATGCACATATAGAATTATAATTACACAGTTTTACAATATAACTTAAAATTATTGTGGTTAGAATTCAGTTTGAAATTTAACTGTTATGTCAAATTTTGTGTCATTAGTTGTTTATGTATACAAGTGTGTTAGATTAAATATAGAAATTACTAATAAGGAACCTAGTTAGGAAGATTACTTTGTACCTAAATTATTATTTAATAATCTTTTATCTGAGAATGCAGTTTGATTAAATTCACATCTAACACCGTTTATTAAATTAATTATTTTAAAAATTTGACCATGTGCCCTAACGTAAAATTAAAAATATAAACTTTTTGGCTAACAGGATTGTTTTCAACCATTTTTGTCTCGTTTTGTGATGTACCGTAATTTTTTATTAATATAACACCACATGTACGCAACGATTCTCACTGAGTTGTAAGTAAATGTTTTTTCAAAATTGTTTCTTATAACCTCTGTAAAAATTAATATTGTAGCTCCCTGAAGATGAACATAATCATGTTCGAAAGCTTGGAATAAATACTTAAAAGAGTACACAATTGTAAGATTTTTGCTGAAAATCCCAAGATTCCTTAGTTTATTTTCTAACTAGTCGGCAAAGACTAAGCCATTTTTGGCTTTTATATATATATATATATATATATATATATATATATATATATATACACTCAGTGCCTACGGGCATGAACGAATTATTATAAGAAGTTTGTATTAAAAGGAGTCCCAAGTTGAAATTATTGATAAGCAGGGTCACGAAACAGTAATTTCGATAGTAATTTTATAATTATATATCAATAATATAATATTTCAATCTTGTTTTAAAAAAAAAAAAAAAATACAATGAATTTAAAATCGTTAGTTTTGTTAAAAATTTTAACTCTTGTGTATTTGCATCAATGTTATTCCGCAGTAGCAGGTGAGTTATACTTATTTTAAAGCGAAAATCGCTTTGAGGTATTTTGAATTTATTTTTAAATTTGTTGCATCCTAGCCTTGAAATTATTTATATTTAAACGGGTTTGACGGCCTGTCATTTTTTCATTACAATTTATGCCAGATTTTAGTAGATACCCAGATAACAATTGTACATTCTTAACATATTCTTAGTATATACTTTTTAAGAATATGCATACGCTGAGAATATTCTTTATTTGCATTTGGTACATTCTCAGAATATACGAAGTACATGTTACATGATATTGTTTATACGTGCTATCAGTGGCCGCCTGTTTGTAATTTAAAATGGGGGTTCAATTTTTTCCAATAATTTTAAAATTTGTAAAACTTTGTACAAGAGCAAATATCCCTCAAAACTTCTTTGGCATCGTCGGTTTTAATAAAATTAAATTCCGATTTTTTTATAAGATTCCTGGTACAAGCGCAGAAACTACCGTTTTTTATTTCATGTGAAACACGTGACATTTTCACAGAACTTGTCAATCTAAAAAGCAAGACAAACCTAAGAGCTGCCAGTGAATCCTGAAATATGCTTTTTATACTTCGCACAAACATTTGCCCTTTTGGTGAAGCAATTCTTGATTAAATTACGTGTCTATACAAACGCCACTATACCCACCCTGGGCATTGCAAAGCCAAGATTAAAATAATGGGTTTTGTTCAAATTTCGCCCGGTAGAACTGTTTAAAACTTCATTTTCACTACACCACACTATAAGTAAAAGCAATCGTATTAGGAAAATTCAAATACTGCAAACCCTAAACAAAATACAAAAATCGGTTATTTTAGATTATTCGGATATTTTCGATTTTTTAGAGATAATATATTCGGTTTTAATTAATCGATTACAATAATATACTGTTTTCAAACACTACAACTATTAACTAACTTGCTGTACTTTAGTAATAAATCAATAATCTATTCATAAAAGTAATAGATTAATCGAAAATAATCGAGTAATCGAAAATAACTGAAAAGAATCGAAAAGAATCGAAAAGAATCAAAAAGAATCGAAAAGAATCGAAAAGAATCGAAAAGAATCGAAAAGAATCGAAAAGAATCGAAAAGAATCGAAAAGAATCGAAAAGAATCGAAAAGAATCGAAAAGAATCGAAAAGAATCGAAAAGAATCGAAAAGAATCGAAAAGAATCGAAAAGAATCGAAAAGAATCGAAAAGAATCGAAAAGAATCGAAAAGAATCGAAAAGAATCGAAAAGAATCGAAAAGAATCGAAAAGAATCGAAAAGAATCGAAAAGAATCGAAAAGAATCGAAAAGAATCGAAAAGAATCGAAAAGAATCGAAAAGAATCGAAAAGAATCGAAAAGAATCGAAAAGAATCGAAAAGAATCGAAAAGAATAGAAAAGAATCGAAAAGAATCGAAAAGAATCGAAAAGAATCGAAAAGAATCGAAAAGAATCGAAAAGAATCGAAAAGAATCGAAAAGAATCGAAAAGAATCGAAAAGAATCGAAAAGAATCGAAAAGAATCGAAAAGAATCGAAAAGAATCGAAAAGAATCGAAAAGAATCGAAAAGAATCGAAAAGAATCGAAAAGAATCGAAAAGAATCGAAAAGAATCGAAAAGCATCGAAAAGAATCGAAAAGAATCGAAAAGAATCGAAAAGAATCGAAAAGAATCGAAAAGAATCGAAAAGAATCGAAAAGAATCGAAAAGAATCGAAAAGAATCGAAAAGAGTCGAAAAGAATCGAAAATAATCGAAAAGAATCGAAAAGAAAAAGAATTTAAAACAATTCCAAAGAATCAAAAATAATCGATTAATCGAAAATAATCGATAAATCATAAAGAATCGATTATTTTTAAGTAATTTACTAGTTGAAAATAACTGATTATTTATTTTGATGATTACCCGGCCCTAACGTTTTTAGCAATCCATTTTGGCAACAAAATTATTTAATTAGGAAGTTTTATCTAAGTAATTGGATTTTATTTATTAATTTATAGAAATTTACTGAAATCTACCAAAATAAACTAGCCAAAATAGCTGAAAACCTACGAAAAATGCAGAAATGGGATAACGTTGAATTAAAGACTCCCAGTCAGAGTGACCTTGACCAAGCACATTAACTAATCGTTGGACCAAGCTAAGTTAACTGTCGTGACATAATCTACGTGCGATGCACAAAATGATGCTTAAAATAGCGTGGTTTCAAGCAGGCACACTGCTGTTTCACGGATCTATTAAACTGTTTTTTTAACATTCATTCTCAGACCTCTTGGGTTCACTAGACATACTGTACCTATTGAACCGACAGACGCGATCGGCCTGAGCTCAGTGAGGTACCAAAAAAAGTAGAGATTAATACGTACGAAAATAACAAATACAGGGTGTTTCTAAATTCTAGCGACAAAATTCAGGAGGTGATTTCTCGTATGAAATTAAAATGGGACTTACCTATAACAAAATTTCCTCAGCCCACCTCTTTCCGAGATATCACCCTTAAAAGGTGGTGACTAATATTGAGTTTTTTTTTTCTAAAATTTCAGTAAAGCTAGAAACTTGATATTCTGTAGTTTTATTTTGGCTAGAAGTGGTCATTTCCAGCATTTATTATGAATCGTATTACATTTTACATCTTTACAGTTTTCCACTCAATTTATTAAATAAATTATAAATTACCGTATTTATTTTTTTTTCTTTGTTATTAAAGTGAATTTATATTATTAAGTTATTTATGTGTGATTTTAAAATAATGTGCTCTTATGAAATTTAACTGGATGTTTGTTGCACAAATGAAACAAAGGAGAAACCGCCCCTGTGTGCTATGCAGATACTGAGAATGTACTTCAAGTATGTGCACAGTATGCAATAAGTATCTACTTTCATTTGATAGTACGTTGTAAGTATATACAGTTCATCAAATTTCTAGAGGCTTTCGACGGCTAGACAGAGAAAGCACTACTGACAGGCATCCCGACGGATGTACGCAATGAAAGTACACTCTGCGCATCAAGTATTTCACTATTTCATTCAGACGTAAATGTCAGATGTAAATTTCGCTAAAATATTTCTTTTATTTTCGTTTGTGTTTTTTGCTCAATACAGTTTAATAGAACCTAAGTATGGAGTTTAATAGCAAATTAAGAGGCCGCGTGATTAACAGTCAATCTCGCGAAATAATAGCCAATGTTATAGAGTTTATGAGAAGAGAAGGAAACTTTAATTCACCTTCAATACCATTTAAAAATGTAAATGATCGTGTTGCTGCAGCCACAGGAGTATCTAAAAACACTGTCGTCCGCATTTCTGGAGAGAAAAAAAGAATCGATAACCGTGAGATATCGGAATTTTCATCACCAAGAAAAACCATTAAAAAAACAAAAACAGTTAATGATATAGATGAAGCTGCACAAGAATCAAATTTTATTTTTTTATTATTAGATAGCTATTTTTGTTTCTGAGTTGTGTTCATTTAAAGGCTCAATTTTTTTCCGTTTCTCCTGTTTGATTTTATATGGGGTTTCAAGTTGTTTTTGACTTATTTCGACGTAAATCACAACAACACACTTTTTTAATAAAGCAAACAAGTGTTAAGAGGTACGTGTAAACTACAATTACAAAAAATTGATATGAAACCCATGAAACCACCAACAAAAATGTAAAGCTAGCTTCCGTACTAGAACATGGTGTCATTCGTCGAGATAATTTATCGTTTTGTTTAATAGATCAAGAAATGTAAATATTCCCCTGTTATTTTTTATAAAATTATAAGAGAAAAAATTTTTTCTAAATAGTATACTTTATTATTTTGTAGAAAAACAAAATTTCGAAAATTTTAGTAATGTTTCAGAAACAACCGTTATTAATAATAGGTACCATTTTCCTTAATAAGGTAGAAATAAAATATAAACTATTTCCACGATTTACAAAGGCCTACAAAAAAATTATAGGTATTTTCCGCTATCCTATAAAATTTATATTTTCTGACTCAATTTCAAAAGGTTGAAGAAATTCCAAAACACCTTTTATGGCATAATAATTATTTTCAATTCTACATACTATCTTTAGCTGCTTTTAAAAACCTTCTAAGAAAGTCCAATCAGACCAATTTAATCCCTAAACTATTCCACACTTTTAAAATTTAATTACCTAAAAATATTAAAAACTATTTAAAATAACTTGTTTAGCAGACTGTACAATAGCTATCTTAGTCACACGTAGCGCGTTCTCTGTCTGGGCGTCGAACACCTCTAGAAATTTGATGAACTGTACTAAGTATTTAAATTTAACACATACTAGACATATACTAGACACCCTAATGCGCCGATTCAGTGTGATGTCATTTTGGTTCCACTGACATTTAATTCTAACCAAACTTTTAACAAAAACATCAATAAATTTGACATATACGTTTTTACTGTTTTTATTTTATTTCAAAATATTGTTTACAGGTCATAAAAAATAGTTTATAAAGGTATGTAATTGGTAACTAAACGACTCATATAGTATATATAGTATATATAGTATATATAGTATATATAGTATATATAGTATATATAGTATATATAGTATATATAGTATATATAGTATATATAGTATATATAGTATATATAGTATATATAGTATATATAGTATATATAGTATATATAGTATATATAGTATATATAGTATATATAGTATATATAGTATATATAGTATATATAGTATATATAGTATATATAGTATATATGGTATATATAGTATATATAATACATATAGTATATATAGTATATATAGTATATATAGTATATATAGTATATATAGTATATATACTATATATAGTATATATAGTATATTTATTTAGTGTACATAAAGTATAGAATACATTCATTTTAAGCTAAACAATTTTAAGAAAAAATCCTGAGACAGGTCGATTTTTAATTTAAATTTAATGTATTATTACATAACAATGAAATATACTGGGTAAACCATTTGTGAGTATCGATGTCATCGACA